TCCTGTACTGATGCTCTCGTGTACACCTGTGGTTGTATGCCTGTACCTCACCTCACCTTGTTGGTACAGGTATAGCTACTACAATCGCGTCTGGGCGTGCCTGTAACAGTGCATAGATACAGGTATATTACAGGTGAATGCAGAGTGCCTGGCCGGAGTGAGAAATGGGTATATTACACAGGTAGCTACAGGTACACTGGCCAGGTATAGATACAGGTATATTACACAGGTAGCTACAGGTACACTGGCCAGGTATAGATACAGGTATATTACACAGGTAGATACAGGTACACTGGCCAGGTATAGATACAGGTATATTACACAGGTACATACAGGTACACTGGCCAGGTATATACAGGTATATTACACAGGTAGCTACAGGTACACTGGCCAGGTATAGATACAGGTATATTACACAGGTAGCTACAAGTACACTGGCCAGGTATAGATACAGGTATATTACACAGGTAGCTACAGGTACACTAGCCAGGTATAGATACAGGTATATTACACAGGTAGATACAGGTACACTGGCCAGGTATAGATACAGGTATATTACACAGGTAGATACAGGTACACTGGCCAGGTATAGATACAGGTATATTACACAGGTAGCTACAGGTACACTGGCCAGGTATAGATACAGGTATATTACACAGGTAGCTACAGGTACACTGGCCAGGGACATGTAAGTGGTGATCCAAGGTGATTAGAGTCATCGTCACATGTTTGTTTACCTGAGGCAGGAGGGTGGAGCTAGACAGCGAATGATCGATCCCCATTGGTCCATCAGTAATAAGTGGGCGGGGCCGTCGACAGGTTAATTAGAAAACCATAACAAACCAACAGATAGTTTCCCCCCAAAACATAATTCATAATTAACTTAATGATATGTTTACTTAATTAGGTAACAACAAATTTAATCAGAACTTTGCCGCCGACTGTCTCCTGATGATGGATCGTGCATGTTAATTGGCGATTTTTCCCTTTCTAATATTGTAAAATTATTGACTATTTCCCGCCATCCTTCCACAACACGTACGGCACATGACCAACACACAGACGACAGACACACACACTGCAAATTCACATATACACACATTACAAAACACACACACTACTACTTCTACTGTGCTGTCACTCGGAATTAAGTATGACGATCATCCAGCTATGAGACAGTGATATGAGTTATGAGGGATGTCACCTACGTTGGTGAGTTCTGAGGTGACTAAAGAGGCCGATGCGGGACCAGCAGGGTCGTCCACAGATGTTGCACATGTGGGGGGCTACATCTAGTGCGGGAGGGGCGGTGGCAGCATCTTTCCGGCGTTGGCGCTTGTCTGCCTCGGTATGCAGTCGGGCTAACTCGAAAGTATTGACACCTTCTCGTGTGGTGCTCCTCCAAGCGTTACGGTGTGGAGTAATCGTCTCCCAGGTGAGGGGGTCGATTTGGCACTTTTTCAGGTTTGTCTTAAGACTATCCTTATACGTTTTCAATTGCCCGCCAGCGTTACGTTTACTATTCGTTAGGTGACTGTAAAGTAACTGCTTTGGCAGTCTACTGTCGCCCATGTGGTTAACATGGCCAGTCTAGCGTAGTTGTTCAAGGATAATGCCCCCCCCCACCCTCAGTGACAGCGCACCACTACTGTACAGTGGACGCTCCTCTACACTTCCCCCCACCTCAGTGGCAGCACCACTACTGTACGGTGGACGCTCCTCTACGCTCACCCCCCCCACTCTCGGTGACAGCACCACTACTGTACGGTGGACGCTTCTCTGCTCCCCCCACACCCTCAGTGACAGCACCACTACTGTACGATTGGACGCTACTCTACGCTCCCCCCCACACCCTCAGTGACAGCACCACTACTGTACGGTGGACGCTACTCTACGCTCACCCCCCCCCCACTCTCGAAGTGACAGCACCACTACTGTACGGTGGACGCTACTCTACGCTCCCCACACACCCTCAGTGACAGCATCACTACTGTACGGTGGACGCTGCTCTACGCTCCCCCCACACCCTCGGTGACAGCACCACTACTGTGCAGTGGACCTTTGCTCTACAGCTCACCCCCCACACCCTCAGTGACATCACTACTGTACGGTGGACCTTTACTCTACGCTCCCCCCACACCCTCAGTGACAGCACCACTACTGTACGGTGGACGCAACTCTACGCTATGCAAATTAATCTATCTATTTGTTAATTACTGAGTGTCTGGGGACGCCGCTACCCACACGCTCCGCCGGGCTAATGTACACCTTTTTGACGCCCCATTTTGACGCCAGGAACTATCCCAAGGTTACCTGGGGCTACGGAGAGGCTTAGGACTATTTGGGACCAGGGGGGCTATTTGAGACCGCGACTACTGCAGGGGTTTAAAAACAACTTGGAACTACGCTGAACACAACCGTAAGGCAAGACAGACTGACAGACATAAAGACGGACCGCGACAAATGTAATGTCATAGTAGTATTAGCAGTAGTAGTAGTAGTAGTAGTAGTAGTAGTAGTAGTAGTAGTAGTAGTAGTAGTAGTAGTAGTAGTAGTAGTAGTAACGCCAGCAATAACATCATCATCAACAACAACAAAAGAGGAAGAATAACGCACCATCTGGTCTCCTTGTCAACACTGAGTCATCGGGAATCAAAACACTGAGAAAAAAATGCTCACGTGATTTCCCATGAGAGAGGAAGTTTCTCAATACGGTATATATCACGTGTAAGAGGATGTGATGATATAGTGAGACACATACTAGTGAGACACATTAGGTGAGGGTGACACACACACACACACACACACACACACACACACACACACACACACACACACACACACACACACACACACACACACACACACACACACACACACACACACACACACTTTATCCTGTGGGTCTGTTGCCTTGTCTCTTGCGTCTCACACACAGACAAACGGATGGAAGGAGAGACAAACAGACTGGCACGCATCCTTAAAATAACAAAAATCCTAAATTCAAAGGTTTTTAAAGGAAGATATTTTTAGGGGGGATTTTAGGGAGGGAATTTTCTTTCGTTTGCAGATTTTGTTAATTCGATTTTTATTTTAGGGATATTACTAGGGAGATTTATTTTTTTTTAAACGTGTAAGGGGACACTGAAGGGAAATGGGGAATTTTTCTATATGGTAAAATATCCCTAACACGTCTAATTAAACGTTAACAAATAAAAATATAAACGATAATAACTTTTTAATTATTGATAACTTCATTTAACATAATAATTTCTCCCAACAGCCTAAAAACTAAAAAAAAAATATAAATTAACTTAATGATGACCTAATTTATCATCATCATTAAGGACATGCTAATCATTATGACCACAACATTGTGTAAAACATAATTATTACAACAACTCGATTATTCATGACCTAATTTGGCATTACTGTTAAGGCAGCCAACCTAACTAATATTATACCCCCCTCTTCTCCCCCCTCCCCCCCTCTCCTCCCCTCCTCCCCCCCTCTTCCCACCCCCTCCTCCTCCCCCTCTTCACCCCAACTCCTCCTCGCCTCCCGAAATATATAATTAGCAAATGATTATTCAATTATAAATGGGCAGGAATTATAATGGTATTTTCACTATGAATTATTTCACTAATCCCGGTGTAAGCCTCGGCGGACAGTTATTGGCAATTATCGTTGTTTCCAGGATATTGAATAGAACTGCCTCCCCTAGTACCCTCCCCTAGTACCCTCCCCTAGTACCCTCCCCTAGTACCCTCCCCTAGTACCCTACCTCACCTCGCCTCCTGAGTTATTGTAGGAAGGATCTTAGCCGACCAGTTGTTATTAGTATTGTTATTATTGTTAATGTTTCGTTAGACTAGAGAACAGAGGGGTGGCTCTCTCTCTCTCTCTCTCTCTCTCTCTCTCTCCACTCTGAGGTTGGTGACCTGGCCCTCCACTCTGAGGGTTAGTGACCCCACGGCCCTCCCACTCCTGAGGTTGGTGACACGGCCCTCCCACTCTGAGGTTGGTGACCACGCCTCCACTCTGAGGTGGTGACCCACGGCCTCCTCTGAGGTTGGTGACCACGGCCTCCACTCCTGAGGGGTTGGTGACCACGGCCCTCCACTCTGAAGAGGTTGGTGACCGCGGCCCTCCACTCCACACCTTTCCGGGGCTGTGTTAAGTAACCCTCCCCAGAGCTTGTATCTCTCAGGGGACCACAGCTGTTAACGTCTCTCGTCTGTCTCTCTCTGGCTTTCCTCCACGTCTCTCACTCTCCCTGACCCACCTCCCAGTCTCTTCCTCTCCTTGACCCTCCTCCCCGTCTCTCCCTCTCCCTGTCCCTCCTCCCCGTCTCCCGACCCTCCTCCCCCTCTCCCTGACCCTCCTGTCCCTCTCCCTGACCCTCCTCCCCGTCTCTCCCTCTCCCTGACCCTCCTCCCCCTCTCCCTGACCCTCCTCTCCGTCTCCCTGACCCCTCACCATCTCTACTCTCCTAATTATAGGACTCAAGTCTCTCATTTTTCTCCTTAATGTAAAAATTTGGGGAAAATATGAAACAGGAAAAAGGTGATAATTAATATTTTACCTGAAGCTGGCTATTACAGACAGACAGACAGACAGACAGACAGACACAGATAGATAAATAGATGATAGATTAAAGGCTCAATACCATAAACATATAGTTGAGTGACACAAAATATTTATCAACACAAAATGTTAACTCAATATAAATATTTTGTTAAAATAAATTGAAAAATACTTGATGTTTTTATAAGTCCCGTGAGAGTAGTGAGATATATACTCTCTCTCTCTCTCTCGCTCTCTCGCTCTCTCTCTCTCTCTCTCTCTCGCTCTCTCTCGCTCTCGCTCTCTCTCTCTCTCTCTTTTACTTTACACATCTATCTTTATTTTCTCTTTCACTTTATATATCTCCAGGGCCCCACGTGTCCCCCAGGGCCCCACGTTTCCCCCAGGGCCCCACGAGTCCCCCAAGACTCCACATGTCTCCCAGGGCCCCACGAGTCCCCCAGGACCCCACGTGTCCTTTAGGACCCCACGTGTCTCAGGACCCCAATATTTCCCCAGGGGCCCACGTTTCCCCCAGGACCCCACGTGTCTCCCAGGCCCTACATGTCTCCCCAGGTCCCCACAGGTCCCCACGACCCTACGTATCCTTTGGGACCCCACGCGTCCTCCAGGACCCCACGTGTTCCCCAGGACCCCACGTGTCCTCCAGGACCCCACGTGTCCTCAGGACCCCCGTGTTCCCCAGGACCCCACGTGTTTCCCAGGACCCCCACACGTGTCCTCCAGGACCCCACGTGTCCTCTAGGACCCCACGTGTCCCCCAGGACCCCACAGGTCTCCCAGGGCCCCACATGTCTCCCAGGGCCCCACAGGTCCCCAGGACCCCCACGTGTCCTTTGGACCCCAGTGTTCCCCAGGACCCCGTGTCCTCCAGGACCCCACGTGCCCTCGGGACCCCACGTGTTTGGGACCCCTGTGTCCTCCAGGATCCCCACGTGTTTACAGGACCCATGTGTCCTCCAGGACCCCACGTGTCCCCAGGACCCCTGAGTCTCCAGGGCCCTACATGTCTCCCAGGTCCCCACAGGTCCCCACGACCCTACATGCATGTGGGACCCCACGCGTCCTCAGGACCCCCCACGTGTCCTCAGGACCCCACGTGTCCTCAGGACCCCCCCACGTGTCCTCAGGACCCCACGTGTTCCCCAGGGCCTCACAGTCTTCCAGGACCCCCCACGTGTCCTTTGGGACCCGTGATCTGGGACCCCCACGTGTCCTCAGGACCCCACGTGTTCCCAGGACCCCACATGTCTCAGGACCCCACGTGTTCCCCAGGACCCCTTCACTCCAGGACCCCACGTGTCTCTAGGGCACACGTGTCCTCAGGACCCCACACGTGTTCCCCCAGGGACCCCCACGTGTCCTCAGGACCCCACGTGTTCCCCAGGACCCCACGTGTCCTCCAGGACCCCACGTGTTCCCCAGGACCCCACGTGTCCTCCAGGACCCCACGTGTTCCCCAGGACCCCACGTGTCCTCCAGGACCCCACGTGTTCCCCGGGACCCCACGTGTCCTCCAGGACCCCACGTGTCCTCCAGGACCCCACGTGTTCCCCAGGACCCCACGTGTTCCCCAGGACCCCACGTGTTCCCCAGGACCCCACGTGTTCCCCAGGACCCCACGTGTTCCCCAGGACCCCACGTGTCCTCCAGGACCCCACGTGTCCCCCAGGGCCACATAGGGTAATCTGTGTGTGTAGTGGAGCGGACACTGGACAGTCCCCTCCTCCCACCTCTCTTGTCCTCTCACCGGCTCTCACTTTGTCTCTCCCCTCCACCTCCTCCCTGTCCTGTGAGCCCCTCTTCCTTGCCCTCCCACCTCCTCTCCCCTCTTTTTTGCCCTCTCACTTCCAATCCCCTCTTTCTTGCCCTCTCACCTCCTATCCCCTCTTTCTTACCCTCTCACCTCCTCACCCCTCTCCCTTGCCCTCTCACAGCCTCTCACTTAACTCTCACCGTTGTTTTAGATCTCCCCTCCTTCACCCAGCTCTCACCCGTTGCCTGCCATCTCCTTCGTCTCTCACCGTTGCCCCTCACTCTGTATCCCTCACTCCCTCACTCCCTCCCCCCCTCTTCCCTCTCCTTTTATCTCTAACTCTCCCTCCCCTCACTTTCTCTCTCTCCCTTCACTCCCTCCTCTCACTATCTCTCTCCCTTCACTCCCTCATCACTCACTCTCTCCATCTCTCCCCTCACAAACCCTCCCTCCCTCTCTCCCATCACTCTGCCCTCCCCTCAGGAGGTGTCACTAGGGCCAGGCGTCAGGGGTAGGTGGCCCGGATAACACAACGGGACAGCTGGCCACCACCACACAAGTATGTTCCTACTGAGAGGCGCCCTGGGGATACATTCAGTGGAGTGAGGACCTGGCCAGACCTACAGGTAATATTCAGTGGGATACGAAACCAAGACAAACCGATATTCAGTGAGATAAGAAACAAAATAAACCAACATTCAGTGGAATAAGAAATCAAACAAACCAATATTCAGTGGGATAAGAAACCAAAACAAACCAATATTCAGCGGGATCAGGAACCAAAACAAATCCAAAAAGGGGCAAATATTCAGTGAGGCGAAGGACCAAGAGGGACCTCCCTGTACCGGACCAACACACGGGGCCACGAAGGTCGAGATGGTGATGCTGCTCAGTTGTGAAGAACGACCATAATGAACCTAACCTTTGCGGTGAGTTTTTCCTTTTGGCCTCACCCCAGAGAGACCTGTGGCGGGGAAGGAGGAGGAGAGAGGAGGGAGGGAGGGAGGGAGGGAGGGAGGAGGGAGGGAGGGAGGGAGGAGGAGGGTGAGGAGAGGAGAGAGAGGGGAGCGGAGGGTAGTGTGGAGAGGAGGGAGAAGAGGGTTATGAGAGAGGGGGAGTAGGAGAAGGGGGGAAAGGAGGAGAGGGAAGGAGAAAGAGGGGAGAAGGGAGAGAAAGAGAGGGGAATGGGAGGGTAAGGGGAGGGAAAGATTTTTAGTTTAACAAATTTATTGACAAAGCTTGTAGTACAGTTTGCCTATTCTGAGTAATTCAATCAGGTCTTGACACTGAGGGTGGTATCACTTCTCACTGCCACGCAGGACAGAGGTTCATACACAAAGAAATACATAATATTCATTAACAGTATATATGTATAGATGTCAGATTCATATGGGTAATGTCACTGTTCACTGCCATGCAGGACAGAGGTTCGTACACAAAGAGATGCATCATATTCATTGACAGTACATATACATACATATACATATATATACACATATACATACATACATACATACATACACACACACATACATACAAATACGGAGGTCAGATTCATGTGGGTAATGCCACTGTTCACTGCCATGCAGGACAGAGGTTCGTACACAAAGAAGGAAATACATCATATTCATTAGCAGTATATATAGGTCAGTGGATCACATACATTGGAGTCATATTCTAATTGAAGACTAATCAGTGTGGGCCAGCAGCAAATTTGGGATAAACAGCAAGAATGTCCTCAAGCACACCTGATTCAATGAAGTAATTACTAAGTTCAAGATACAATAAGTCAGGTGGCCTGAAGTCTTTGACAGTGTCACATTCAATAATATAGTGTTCAAGTGTATGCTGTAAGGGTTTATCACAAAGTTTACATGCTGAGTGTTCCGGTATGGGTACAGCGTTACTAACCTTCCAGATGTGTCTGTATCCTAGCCTAATTCTGGCCACGACTACATCACATTGTCTGGTTCTGTCCTTATGCTGGCCATACCGGTACCTCTCGTCATAAAATTTGTCATATTTACTAATGCTACAACTGTCAGGTCTCTCTGCATTTCTCACTTCTTCTAGATCAGAGTTCATGATGTTGACTTGAATGTTTTTAAGTACAGCATTGGACAGGCCAAGGTCACGGTCAACATTTTCTTTCTTACATGCCTCATTGGCCAGTCTATCAGCACAGTCATGATACCTGATTCCAACATGGGACGGAATCCACACAAATTCGATACGAAAGTTGTTCTCATTGGCAGTTATCATATTCCTTTTAATATCACATACAACTTTAGACATAGAGCCTGACGGACTGTCCGTTCACTGATTTCAAAGCACTTTGAGTCACAGAATATCACCCCACCTCCATTTTCTTTGAGGTAGTCTGTGGCTAAGTAGATTCCAGTTAGTTCAGAGGGAAAGGGAGGGGGGTACTCTGAGGCGAGCTACACTTTGATGACGCAAGAGAGACATTGCGTCACCATCACCCCCTCCTTTTCTACCTTTTCCTTCTGTCTTTCCCATCAATTCCCTTCCCTTCTCTCTCCCCACCTATTCTCCCTTCTTTCTTTTACCTTCCCTCTCACCTTTCCCCTTCCCTATCCACATTACAGTTTCTCCTCTCTTCTCCTTCTTCCCACTCACCTTCCCTCTCCTTCCCCCTCTTATCTTCCTTCTCTCCCTCTCCTTTCCCCCTTAACTTTCTTGAACGCCTCCCTTAGCCCTCCTTTCCCGTCACATCCCTTCCCTTCACTCCCACTCCAACCCTCCTCATCTCATCCCTCCCACTCCAACCTTTCCCTCTCATCCCTTCCCTTCCTTCCCTCCCTCTCATCCCTTCCCTTCCTTCCCTCTCTCTCATCTATTTCCCCTCCCTTCCCCTCACCCTCCCCCTCGGCCACAGCAGACAGGCCCTCAAGTGTCTTAACCCCTCACTCCGCCACTCAAGGGACAATCTAAAGCAGGAACTCAAGGGCCATCCACCTGTCACTCTAAGGGTGTAAGGGTCGGGAGTCACAAAGAACTCCTACGATGATTATGTTCCCTTAACCGCTGCTAAGTGAACGTAGTTGGCTAAGGGGTAGAGTCACAGGCTAATTTGGACGCCATTTTGGATTTAAGAGTCACTAGTTTGAGCGCCATTTTGGATATTGTAGAGTCACTGGTTAATTTGGACGCCATCTTGGATTTTTAGAGTAAATAATTCGGACGCCATATTTCAAGTCATTGGTTAATTTGAACGCCATTTTGGATACTTTGTTATTTAACTTAAGTCAACCTGTTATATACGGTGTAACAGAGCCAGTTAGATTTATTGTCGTAGAATCCAGAGGCAAGGGAGTACAGTATATATTCAGTGGAGTAGAGAACCCAAACAAACCGAGAAATATTCAGTGGAGTAGAGAACCCAAACAAACCGAGAAATATTCAGTGGAGTAGAGAACCCAAACAAACCGAGAAATATTCAGTGGAGTAGAGAACCCCAAACAAACCAAAAGAAATATTCAGTGGAGTAGAGAGCCCAAACAAACCGAGAAATATTCAGTGGAGTAGAGGCCCAAACAAACCGGGAAATATTCGGTGGAGTAGAGAACCCCAAACAAGCAGGAAATATTCGGTGGAGTGAGGGCAAACAAACCGGGAAATATTCAGTGGAGTAGAGAACCCAAACAAACCGAGAAATATTCAGTGGAGTAGAGAACCCCAAACAAACTAAGGAAATATTCAGTGGAGTAGAGAACCCAAACAAACCGGGAAATATTCAGTGGAGTAGAGAACCCAAACAAACCGGGAAATATTCAGTGGAGTAGAGAACCCAAACAAACCGAGAAATATTCAGTGGAGTAGAGAACCCAACCAAACCGAGAAATATTCAGTTGGGTAAGAACCCCAAACAAACCGGGAAATATTCCAGTAGATGAAATTTAAACAAACCGGGAAATATTCAGTGGAGTAGAGAACCCAAACAAACCGGGAAATATTCAGTGGAGTAGAGAACCCAAACAAACCGAGAAATATTCAGTGGAGTAGAGAACCCAACCAAACCGAGAAATATTCAGTTGGGTAAGAAACACACAACAGCATTATACTCAGTTGGATGAGGAACCAAGGAAGACATATTCAATTGGATGAGGACAACAAACCAACACGGTGAGGACAGCACGGTGAGGACAGCACGGTGAGGACAACACGGTGAGGACAGCACGGGGAGGACAGCACGGTGAGGACAACACGGTGAGGACAGCACGGGGAGGACAGCACGGGGAGGACAACACGGTGAGGACAGCACGGGGAGGACAACACGGTGAGGACAGCACGGTGAGGACAGCACGGTGAGGACAGCACGGTGAGGACAGCACGGTGAGGACACTTACCGTCTGCCTTGAGTCAACTCCTCCTCGGGGCAGACATTACTGTGTACTTTTAAGACCATTTATATTCATGTGTCTGAGAGAGAGAGAGAGAGAGAGAGAGAGAGAGAGAGAGAGAGAGATGCTCTTGTTAGTTAATACAAGGATTAACCCGAGTTTACATATACCTGTGTGTACATATACCTGTGCGTACATATACCTGTGTGTACATCTACCTGTACGTACAACTACCTGTACGTACATCTACCTGTACGTACATCTACCTGTACGTACATCTACCTGTACGTACATCTACCTGTGTGTACATATACCTGTGTGTACATATACCTATGTGTACATATACCTGTGCGTACATATACCTGTGCGTACCTGTACGTACATCTACCTGTGCGTACATCTACCTGTGCGTACATATACCTGTGCGTACATATACCTGGGCGTACATATACCTGTGCGTACATATACCTGTGCGTACACATACCTGTGTGCATATACCTCTACCTATGTGTCTGTGTGTACACCTACAGTACCTGTGAACAAATGCCCAGGAATCTTACCT